TTATTTTTTTTTCATTAAAAAATATATCTATTCAATATAGATCTGTTTGCGTTGCTTGAAACCCAAAAATTTTTATACTTAAAATGAGATAGATATATATTTGGGCGTTAAAAAAAGAGAAAGCGAAGATGCTGAATGCAAAAAGTGCAAGCAACGCGAACAGACCTAATAAATATGTATATCTATCTATCAAAAAAAAATGTACGATAATTTTAATCAAAATACGATAATTTTGTATTGTTGGTACGATTTTTAATAATGCGGAGGTTGGCAACGCTGGAGTGGTGTCTCGTCGTTCCCGCGTATTGTAAAGTTCGCTTTGTTAGTTCGAAACAGGAGTAAACCAGTGATTAGGGAGAGTTTGAGAGTTTAGAGCGGTTCAAAAGCCCTTATGAGGGTATCTCGACAATTATTCGAGAACTGTATATTTTTGGAAGCTGATCGCGTGTTAACATATCGTCTATAATTATCGAGTGAAACAATGGCAAATCGAAGCCGGCCGAGTGACATCGATCGGATCTGCGAGGCGATACACGACTTACAGAAATCCTTGGAATGTACGATTTGGTAAGTCTGCATTCGCGACGTCGCAAACGTGAACAGATCCATCCGTCTCGTATTCTTGTACAACACAATCACCTTGTTTTCGTGCTGTTTCGTGCGTAATGACTCGGACAGATATAGGTTAGGATCGTACAGTGCAACAAGTGCCCACCTCGCAGCAATCATGAATCATATCAAAGCACCTGACAATTTTCATAGATTCTGCATATGAGAGACATGTTAATAATATTCTGATTACCTTAATTTAATATCAAGCTTGTAGATTTTTTATCTAAATGAGTCAAGTATATGTAAACTGTAAATAAAAAAATATGTATCAAACATAACATTATGATACTATTTAAACAATAAATCATGAATAATGAAGGAATTGACAGTTTTTATATGATTTTATATGAGAGATATTATATTAATTAAGAATTATTAACTCGAAGAAATAATTTAATTAATTATCAAGCTCGCTTATACATTTTTTATCCAGAGAAATACATAGACAAGGGAATGTGTTTCAAATCTAAGATTATAATACTATTTAAACAATATCAAGTTGTGACTTCATTGAACTAGTGTACATTAGTTGTATTTAAAATGAAATAGATATATAACATATTTGGGCAAAAGCAATTTTAATGCAGTCTAGTGTAGCAATAAAGAACTAATTTATTATATAATGAATCGCAGCAAAGCAATTGACAGATTTACTGATTCTACATGTGACTATATTAATTAAACTTTAAGTACTTTAATTAAGTATTAAGCTCGCTTATAGATTTTTTATCCTTTAAATGAGTCAGAGAAATACATAGACAAACAAATGTTTTAATATAAGATTATGATATTTAAATAATATTACGTCTTCTTTATTGTGATTAAACTAGTACTTATACGTTATGGTTGTACTTAAAATGAAATAGATATATATTTGAAATTTAGCGAAAATAATATAAATAATTTTAATTTGCAATCCAGTGCAGTGACAAAGAACAGATTTACTATATTATGAATCACAGTGAAGCAGTTAACAGATTCATCGATTCTACATGTGAAAGTCATATTAATTAAACTCTGGGTGCTTTAATTACAAAAAAATATGTATCAAACATAAGATTATAATACTATTTAAATAATATTTATGGAATTAATTACATTTTAAGTGATCAATTATTTGTGTAAATCAAGATTTGATTAATATTTTCAGAACAGTATTTATAACTAGTTATTTCATATTGTTTCAGTTTGGACTTCCTGACAGAACCTACCAAGACCCGATGTGGTCATTCATTCTGTAGAACTTGTATAGGAAAGGTCTTACAAATGAAAAACGCTTGTTGTCCACTGTGCAAGGAGAGTCTTAATAGACGCAACATTTCCAAGGATGATTATATGCAAACTTATATCGAGAAGTTAAAAAATCTTGTCATTGCCATCCAGAATGATACTAATATCGAGTATACTGAACGTAAGTACATTGTAAAATTTTACTTCCCTGAATTGACCGAGTTTCGATTGTATCTGAATTAATACGACATAAATCAATTTGAAATCTCTATCTGAATTATTATCGGTTAATCACAATCGGAGGATAAAATTAAATTGTAAAAAAACCGTAGATAAGATATAATTCCTCTGGGAAACGATTCTTGTACTACTAGAACGCTACGATATTGAGAAATTATTACTGCACGGATAAAATAATCGTAATTTCCGTGCTAACTATTGATCCGCGATCTGCTATTGTGTTATTCAACTGGGAACGGAAGTTAAAAGCACGGCGCAGTAGATGTTCTGCCGTAAAAGTACATTAAGTGAGGTCAGCACTACGTTCCTCGCTGTGCGCGGGATGGTGGAGGCCTGAAAAATTTAATTCTCGATACTCTTGGGTGCCTCGATTCATGCTATACGTTTTAGAGAAAGCTCAATGTTTTATGAGGCCCTGGAGTTTGGGTATCACGTACCTTCCCGACGTTATTCAGTTCCCTTGCGTTGAATATTCGAAATGTCCTTACTGTAGATTTTCTCTGGTCATATTTTTCATTTTTTATTATAACGTCACTCAGTTCGTCATACATTAATCACATTTTATTGATTTATAAAGATATGTTCCATGAAAACGAAAAATAAATGATTCGTAAATAACCAAGTAAAATCAAACTATTTTTATTTTATTTTAAAAATGAAATACATACCAAAATTTGTACGAGATTGGATGTATCCAGGCGCATCGTGACTTTGTATTTAATTTTATTACAACTTGATTGTAAAATATATATATATTTTATAGATATAGATAAAAGATTAAAACGTTTCATGTTTTATGAAAACTGCGCTTCTCTGAATGATAATTTGTATCTTGCTACGCGTTAATTCCATTGACGCGCCAGACATTAACGTCGTAATATGTTACGATATTACTATTAAGATTAATTTATAGTACAGTTTTCCGTGCGATAATTGGATAAGATCGTGTATAATTGAATAAATCTCGTGTATATACTTGAGATATGTTAAGATTACTCACATAAGTTTCTATCACAATTCTTAAAATTCTACTTTCTTGATATTTTTTAATTAAATTTATTAAAATGCTTTATAATTTATATTTTAGAAATAAAATGAATAACGCGGAGAGAGATAAAATGAAATATATATATCAATTTAAATCTATTATATCAGTTTTAAATCATGTGTAATTATTTTTTGAACGAATATGTTGATTAATGCGGGATATATCAAACAATCGTATTCAATTATTGTATGAGTAAGCTATAATAAATGCGATTGTGTGTAGTCAAGTTTTACTTAGTCATATTGTTAAATGTAAGAATGTATTTCTTCAACAATATCAGCAAATAAATCGGGGTGGTTTCGTCGATATCCGCGATAAAGCTTCAATAATCTGTTACAGTATTATCGCACTCGAAGAAGCCCTGTAATACGAAGGAAAGCTGTTCTTATTCAGATTCTAGACAGCCTAGCCAAGATTCTAACAAAGAAAAACGTTCTAAGAAAGAGAAGTCTAGTTATCAATCGAATCAAAATGCGAACAGGCAAACCGACAGACCGTCGACAAGCCGTGAAACAATGATTGATCGTGGTAATCCGCGATGTGGTTTAAACGTGTCAAACAAGAAACCTGCAACTTTACCGAACTTCTACTCTGCTTTTCCTAGCGATGAGACTCACATCACATCGGATGCCAAAATTCGCTCGTGGCTACACCAGTTTCCCGATAACCTGAATACCGATAAACCGGATATCGATGATTCGATCGCGAAAAACAAAAAATCACCGATCGAACATGAAGCTAAATCAATCATTTCAATATCCGACAATAATAGGAAATCTGACGAGATCGTCGAAGTACATCGCAACAGGATTAACGCAAAGCGCCGGTCAAGTCGAGATAGAAAACAGATTATGGATTGCTCAAAGCGTATCGACGAAGACAACATGTTATCCCAGGTGAATAAAGAGGCTAACCAGATTGACAAAGTAATACAGCCCACTTCGAGCAAATTGAATTACAAGATTCACGCCACAATACAGCTGGCCCCCAAAATACGCGCAGAAAAAAATCATGAGAAGAATGCGAAGTCGAGTGTCGAGGAGACTAACAGTCAAAATAGCTCTACGTTACGGATAACAACGTACGACGATCCAAATGCGACATCTATGCCTTCGTGTCTGGGTATGAGGAGCACATCTGCGACTAGCGAACAATCCACCGCGAACTGGCTCTCTATGATCGAGTTTGAGAAAGAGATGAAACGCGGGAGCAAAAGAAAGGTAAAAAAACTGAACGTGAGCATTGAGAAAAATAAGAATCTACCTCGGATAATCGAGAACGTTGTACTCTCAGAGAGTAACAAATACGATTCGGCGAGACTTACGGCAAGTCATAAAAAAAGCGAAAAAGAGACGAACATATCGCCGGAGTCGAGCGGTCGAAAACAGAACGCGATTGATAAAAATCTAAATTTATCAAACGCAAAAGTGAGAGTATTAATTGATACGAACAATCGGACGGAATTATTTGACAAAGATGGGGCTAACTGTTCGCAATCAATGTATCCTATCAACACGTCTGCCACATTGGAGGAAGGCAGGCAAACAGACATAATAAATCTAAATATCAATCAAATAAACAAAATTATTGGCCTCGATAACACCGCGGAAGATCGAGATTGTGAGAAAAATTCCGCTGATTATAGCGATGCATCACCATCACAGCGAAAATTAACTGTAATAACGTCGGAGAAATTAAACGAATCGGTATATGAACACGAAAGATTTTGTAACATTTCACAAACTTCCACCAACGACTTTGAAACTGTATCCGACTACTCGTCGCCCGAAAAACGGTTTCTCGGATCCCGAGAGACCAGTAATGTTCAGGAGACACTGGATGAAATTATATCTTCTCAATTATCATCGACATCAAAAAAGGGTAGGCTATCCTTGAAAAGGAGGACTGATAAGAACGTTGAGTCGCCGCTTTTCAGCGATTATCCGTTGTCACAGAGATTTTCGATGGACATAAATTGTATCAGTGATCGTAAGAACGTCAATTCGCCAGTATCAAAGGATGATAAGCTGTTTGATCGATCAAAAGTTGTGAGGCGTGATTTGAACTTCAAAATCCACGAAATTCAACAACGAACCGACCAGGATATGATATCCGCCAGTGCATCAAAAGGCATAATCGAAATTGAAAATAACAACGAAAATGTTTCCAAAATTGTTCATCAGGACAAAAAGCTCAGTCATAAATTTACCGATGAATCTACAGTGTCGAAAAAGTACCTCTCGACAAAATCGAAAAATGTCGAGAATCAAGAACGTCGATCTCTCGTGAAATTTATGCAATTAGGTTCGTTAAATAAGAGGTTAAACAAGAGGTTAGTCCGATATATTTACGCAGGCCCGACCAAACGCGAAATGTCGATGCCAGCAGAAGTTCGAGTCACCTCGATGTGCAATACGCAATTAAACAGATCTGAAATATATGTAGCAACATCTCCTAATCCATGGAATGATTCACAAAACTCGAATAACATCAACGTGGTGGAAAATATTTGTTTCGCGAATAATTTAAATTCGAATGAAGCAATTTCAAAAGAATTTCCCACGTTACAGATTTGTACAGCTTCAGCAACTTCGACGCCCAAAAAAAATACCGATTCTCAGTTAAATCAAACGAAGAACACAAAGGTTGCACACTCTTCATTGAACGCAAATCAACGATCGGATAAGTCAATTGAGAACGTCACTGAGAAAAATGCGCAATTTCTTCATAAGCCATCTTGCGTGGATAAGAACGCGATTCACGGGATCTCGCATATTCATCCAGGAACGTCGAAATCTATTAAATTGCTGTCACCGGATAAAGATTCGCAGTTGAAATTTCTCGCGATAGACTCCCCAACGAGCGAGCGCAATAAGTTGCGACGCGCGAGCTCGATTAAGTCCGTAATCAAAGGAAACAACTTTTCTGAAATGAAAAATTCGCACCTCGAAACATCTACACTGGGCAAGGCGCAGGAACCTTTCATCGAAAACCCCTGTAAGAAGAGAAAAAGAACGAGATACGTCAATGACACAGAGCTATTTGAGGACAGGTCCAGCGATGGAAACGATTCCAGCAATTCGGCCAGTGACAGCAGTCGAAGTACGATAAAACTTGACAGATACAACGAGTTATGTAGGAAAGCAAGCTCAAATCGCTTGAGTTCCTCGGATGACCAGGATGTCGACATGATCTCGCTGGTTTCTAAAAAAACAGCGAGATTATGTCGACATCCTGGTCATCCGAACCAGAATGCGGCCAGAAGAAAATTCAAGGTTTATAGCTCAGAATCGGAATCGAAATCGGAGACGCACGTTACGAAAAATTTGAAAAGGTATTAATGAAAAATTATATAATTATATAAATTACATAAATATATATAATTATATAAATTATACATATAATTATTTTATTATATATGATTCTTATATAAATCAATTTATTTTGTTGACCTATTTTTCTGTTTTCAAATTTTTTTCCTTTTTATTTTTATTGCCGATCTTATTTTATATTCATAGTTTATATTTTAAATTTATTTGTAACTGAAATCTATAATTATTGCTATTGGTCATAATTTTTATCTACATTGATCCATAATTAACGAATATTGTTTTTTCTGAAGCAACTTCCTTCATTTCTTTTTTCCAATTTTTGCGACTACTTTCAGCGATTATTATTATTACGCACTGCTATTACCGTTACTTCTTAGATGAAGTAATGCAACAAAGGGAAAGAGATATACACTTCGCATTTAATCGCAGAAAAGTACTCTTGTCAGGAACATAGTTTTTTTATTTAGACCGTCATGATTTTTTTTCTTTTTCAAAAATACAGCGACAATCAATGTGCCCAATGGAATTCATCGATTACGGATTCGGTTACGAAACAATGTTTGACTAAGCAAGATTCGGAAAATCTTCGTACGCGGAATATAATCGATAAATGGAGCAACGAACACACGATGCAAACAAAGTTGATGAAGGAAAGTAAAAACAGTCAGAATAGTCTCAAATCAACGAAGAGTCGATCCGAAGAAATCCCGGCGAGCTATCAATCTTCTCACTCAAGTAATGCACTCAACATGGAGAAGTACTCAAAGCCAAGCCAGAAAAGTTTCGCGAGAGAGTCGGATATGTTTGAGAGCAGTAGTTTCTTCAATTCGGAAAATGTTGATTATATACTGCAGTCGACAAAGAACGCGAATGATACGTCAAAGAAGATCGCGGATTCTTCAAACGATGACATTATAAACAAAGTGCTGCAGATCGATAGATCGCGGAGTAACACCGATGAACGGCCAGATTCTATTTCACGGAACGATATCACGAGCCAAAGAGAAAAGGACAACAGAGAATTGTTACAGGACAATTTCGACGAGATTATCACCAATGTCGAACAGCCACAAGGCAAGGATTTCATACCTTGTTCTAAACATCCAGATCGTAATCCCAATTGCCCGTTGGCAAAACAGAAAAAATCGAACTGTCTCGCAATGACAGATGAATCGTGTGACGTTATACAGGAAACTCTGACCATATTTCCGTCATCGACGAACGACATGTTTGAACAGTATTCTTCTAGAAACGTTAAGAAACTACCCGCAACGAATGCTATTCTAAAATTTCAAGAAACATTTAACGAATGGATTACAAAGCATCCTGATAAAGAGAACGTTGTCTGCAACCAGAAAATACATGGTTACGTGGATGATCAAAGAGACAGAAAAGATTCAATGACAAACGTAGATGCGTTTGACAATGACTCCCGTAAGACAGTCGCATCGAAGCATAATTTATCGCGAGAGAAAGAAAAGTTCCTCGAAGAACATAATGTTTCAGTACCATCAGCGGGTCGGCTTGACGTCAATAACGATAAAATATACAGAGCAACAGTTGCTGACAACGAATCAATTTCAAAGGATAATACTTTCGATGATTCGCTTATGAATATTATGCAGCATCAAGTTCGATTACAAATGTTTGAACGGGATCTATTCGGTATTGCGTCCCAAAATCAAACGAAAACGACGAAAATGAATTCGCAGAATGATCCGTCACGAAGGGAACAACGCACTCCAAAAAAGAGAAAGCTGAATATTCAGGATAAAAATACGGAACCAGAGGTAAGTGTTCGCAATGTTAATATTTCTATATTTATCTATGTCTTATATTAACAAGGCTATATTTATATTCTTTTGCTCTGCAATTTTGAGATTCCGAGAAATAATGTTTCTCTAACATACATATCGATTCACTTACAAAGAAAACCTACAATTATAACGAATTTCACTTATATCTGCAAGTGTAAAATTTATATTTAATATATTTGTACAATCGTGAAACTCTGCTAACGTGTAGAGGACACAAGAGAAACACATCACAAGATTTTCTTGGAGTTTATGGAAATTCAAAGAAATTTCTATCTTATCAAAATAGTTATAATTCGCATAATCAAATTTTTTCACTCAAGTTTAAAATAAAAAATCTGTACTATGAAATGTATAGCATATGTAGCCGTAGGTATTTTAAATTCTAAATTTAGTATACTTATGTACGTCGCAATGGATTTTTGCAACCCTTTTTATGAGCGAGCACTTTACATCGATCTTGTGTAGCGTTTACTGTAGTTTACATAGAAATAGCAACGAATGCATTATGGAACAGCCTGTTCCGTGTGTGTGTGCATGTGTATATGTACATACATATATATATATATATGTATGTATATATACAGGGTGTCTCAGAAAATGTGACCGAAACACAGTGGGGACATAGATTGGATCAAGGGGAACAAAACAGTTTTGTACCATTTTGCAGTTGACGCAATATTTAACGAGATATTAACGTTTAAAGATAGGCGAATACGAGCGTCCGACCAGCCTACTGATCATGTACTGCTGCCGGCAGGACGGCCTACCCGGTATTCGCCTATCTTTAAACGTTAATATCTCGTTAAATATTGCGTCAACTGCAAAATGGTACAAAACTGTTTTGTTCCCCTTGATCCAATCTATGTCCCCAGTGTGTTTCGGTCACATTTTTTGAGACACCCTGTATATATCTCATGCTTCACAAGCTTACGCTATAAAGTGCACCATTTGTAATCTCATTTAATTCAGTTAGTAATTTATAATGAAATTGATACGTGTGCGGTACATTTTGATTCTTTTGGTACAAAAGCTTTTCACTGTCCAATATGTGTATAACAAGTATCACATAGCACTTTTAAACACAGGAATGCTTCGCCGACGAAGATGACGTTGTGGAAAATACTCCTGAGAAAAAGATGAAGAAGTAAGTACGCGTTTTAAGTTCTTTTCTCTTACAGTGTACTTTTCGTGCTCGTTACACGCCTTTGCTAGTTAGATAATTTACATGCACGTGATCATAAATACGACAGTATATGTACACCGTTGCATGAGTCACAAAGAAACGGGGCGAGACTATTTCTCTATTTTTTGCAACTTCGAATAATATATCAAAGAAAGATATAGGCAAAAAATTAAAAATATCAATAGATGCATGTATATTACATAATACATAGCGTGTGAAGATTTCGTAAGATGTATAGTTTCTATTCGAAATTCTTTATGTACTCATTTTTATGTGTAATTTTGCTAATTAATCAGTATACCTGTTTCAAATAGTTCCGTTCGTTCGCATTATTTATCCTACTGGTTTGTTCGAATTTATTTGATCGAAAACATAATTTATCTTACAAATATATTATTTAAAAACTTTTTTTCTCTGATATTTTACGATTTTGTCTGTTAATGTAACATCTGTTTCTGTGAACATTTTTTATTTTTTAAAACTCTTTAATCTCGATTGTTTAGAAATCTGTTTACAATCGCTTAGAAAATCGGAAAGATCAATGTTTCCTGAATATTTTCTTGTTAGCTTGAGACACACGCGAAGTACATTATTGTAATGTTGCAGCAGCGGAAACTCCTTAATGATCGAGTCAGGAGAAAGTGCAAAGCCATCGTTTTTAACCCCGCTCTTGAAGAAAGGCGAATGGACACCAAATACATCAAAATCGCATCAAATAGTTCACCCTCTGAGTGGCTCGAGTACACCTATAAATTTGTTAAAACCGTCTTCGCAAACGATATTTGAGATGGATAAGAGAAATGAGCGTGTAAGAAACGATGATATTTTATTTGCGAAGCAGATGAACGCAAAGATGCTGGAGAATGTCCCTTGGCAACCTGACAAGCAAGACCTGCGCTTCGTATGCAGCGGATTATCTCCGGATGAGGTCATCACAGTGCAACAATTCGCGACGAAACACAACGCGAATTACGTGAAACAATTCGATCACAATGTTACACACGTTATCGTGAAGACCAGCGGTGAGAAGAATATAGCGAAAAGCACATTGAAGTATCTGCAGGGTATCGCCCATCGAAAGTGGCTAGTCAGCTATAGGTGGATCGAGGATTGTAACATGCAGCAGAAGCTACTGGACGAGGTTCCTTATGAGGCAACCACGCAGACTGATGTAATGGACAGTACCGGACCTCGTAATTCGAGATTACGCGACAAGGGTCTCTTTGAGGGCTTCACGTTTCTCTGCATCGGACCGTACATCAACGTTTCACTGAACCAGTATAAGGTCAGTCCTTAGTCACTTACATGTGCACGACCGCTAATGAGACAACGTTGCATCCACATTTCGCCTCCAAAAACATCGGAACATTTATTTTCCTCGAAGACACTATTAATTTCTGTTCGAAAACACAGAGTTTCTTCGACTTGTAATTAAAACAGATTCGTTGTACGTGTCGCTGGACTGAAAGGATTTTTATTTACGCTTCTCTTACGCGTTCGGTCGCAGTCTCGCCATTTCAAGTTGGATCCGGTCCAAACTTATGTAAGAATATCTTTGATTTTTAGGATTTGTTACGTGCAACCGGAGCCACAGTGGTTGATTCCTTCGAAGATCTCGATAATATGGGGGGCCTGAAAGGCGTTGTGATCCAAGACAATATACACGACTACAAAAAAGTCGGTAAGTTATTAGAAATAAATATACACATCGTACACACAATACTTTCTTGTGGAAATATTTCAATTAAGATTTAATGCATGTATTGATTTATATAAATATTATTGTTTATATAAAAATTCTCCACGAAAAAATATTAAAGTACATTTGTATTTTGGTTTTCCTGATAGAACATTGGTATCGAACTTCTAAGGCAGCACCCATTCTCGTGGATTGGGTAGTCGAATGTATCGGTCACTACAAATTATTGAAGCTTGCTCCCTACAGCCCATGTCTCTCACCGCAAGATTTTTATACTATTGGCTATCCACGAGAACTCGTAGAAGAAGATGAGGAGTACAGCGATACCGAATAGAGGGGAAACAAATTTATATATATATTTGTTATCTGTTAATAATTCGTTCCAGTGTTCAGTATTTTCAATCAAAATAACTAAATAGTTACAATGGTATTTTCATATTTACTATATTACACGCGTACATATGTAAATTTAATTCTCATTATATCTTATCTGATATCTATCGATTGGATATTAACTGTTATATATGATTTCAGTTTTTTTATTTTTGTATACAGTATATGACTACATGTTAAATATATTGTAAATTATTTATGCTTTTCTAATAAATTTGTTTTTTGTACGCTGAAGTTTCTCTCTGAAGTTATTTTCGTACAATTCTCGCACGTTCATTCGTGATCAATGTCTCGTTTGTGCGTCATGTACCATACTCGTTTATTGTACCGTCGCGAGTTCGTTGTCCGTTTTTCGAAAACCTCTTCGTCTGGATCTTACGTAGCATTCCAATTTAGCCTCGAGAGTTTTCCAAGACCGCGGTAAATGCCGGTCGCAAAATGTCATCTCGAGATACCTGACGCGCTTCTCGCCAACGTGAGAAAGTAAAAAGAGAACATGAAATCCATGCGGACGTGATGACAAAGGACAAGTCTTTTCGCGATACGACAATGCTGTGCCGCGTCGTCCAGATCGTAAAGTTCGTTTGTCCTGAGGGAACGCCGAGGGTATTCATATATATTCACCCAAACACACGTACCCATATTGATTTGCCCGGGACCACCTGTAGCCAACTCTCATCCGTTCGCGCACCGCACAGTCGTTTATGAATCCCGCCCAATTGTACGTAGACGAGAGGAAACGAGCGCTACGCAATCTGTACTCTCAACTTCGACATTAATATCGCGACGATACGTATATGAAGAGTAGTGGGTCGGGGGTTCACGAGAGTTCGCGGCTGTAAAAGCACACGTATTTCCTCTTAAACGTTCCGCACTGTTACTATGTAATCGATTGTATCCGCTCCGAATAATACCACCTCCGACGTGCGTCGCAAATTGATGAAAATATATTCGATGTTTACTGCCAATAGTCAATGACGCTGGCTTGCATATTATACAGGCAGAATCCACGTTTAACAATGGTAGTTGTGCATCGCGACCGCACGTTTTGTATGAACCGCGGTGAATTTTGATTTGAAGCAAGTTACTCGAGATTTACCCGTCTCCTTTTGCTATATAGGAAGATTCGATTATGCCTCTTCCCTTATACTGCATAGCCACATATAGCCACAGGACTGTTGAAGTTCACCATTGTGCGCGGTCTCTACTATACCCATGTTTGCGAATGACTCTCAATTGAACGGAGTATTGAAGGATTCTATTGTATTTTCACGCGACATAACTCTCCACGTGCACGGCCATTTATGTCGTTCGCAGGTGGCAAAATAGTAGAACATTATCGCCTTCAAACAATCCTTCGTTAAATTGAAATTACGATGCAGACGTTGCGTTGATGAGAAAAATATAAACTTTTTTCTAAACGCTAACGAGAAAAATACAAGCTTCTTTATAAATGTAGGAAATAACGAGAAAAATATGAGCTCCTCTATCGCACCTACGACAGATGCAAATCTTTTTGATCTTATTGAAAATGTTGCTGCGTTGAGATTTAATTTAATTAATAGCTACCGTAATTTTCTATAGTGCTTATATGTATAACGAAGAAAACATTTCAAAGAACATATCAAGTCAAGAGAAAGTCAAAATGATTTTATTTTAACGTCATAAAAATCAAAATGATGATTTTTGATGATGTTACAAAATTTGACTGTTTATGACATTAAGAATCAAAATAAAGACATTTTGATTTTTTATTGACTTTTGTGTGTTCCTTGGGTTTCTGTCGCACACGCGCGCGCGCGCGCGCACGCACACACACACACACACACACACACACACACACATAGACATTAGGGAAATAATAAATAAATCGGTTCGCTTGTCTATACTTATACTAGATGAGCGCCAACCTAGCAATTAAGCATGTGCTGATTATACGGAGTCATTAATCACACTCGCGAGTCATAATACCGCTCATCAGATATGCTTACTCCATTGCACGTTACCGGATCTTCGTGTACAATGTATCTTCTGTCACAGTAATATTCACGCGTGTGGTATGTCGTTGCGGTTTGTTACGCAAAGCGTAGGCAATAGTTAACGGCAATAGCTGCGCGCTTTATGAGTCTCCGCTTAATCACTCCAAATCGCAACAAAGTTCCATGCTGTCCCTACAATTATCGGAGCATTCCATTCGGACGCTACGTTAATTGCATTGCAAGTTCATCTAAACGCATCTAATCAATCAATCCATGTGAAACGCGCGCGTTCAACCATTAAACGTTCATTCTTAAATTCGAGTGTCAGGAGAACCTCATCCAAAAGACATGGTGATTTTCGAAAATTTTTTTTTCTCAAAAATATGAATATACTTCTCAAATTTACTTATCAAAAATATAAAAAAAGAGGTTTTAATCTTTCATATATCTATACAGGGTGTTTCTGAAATAACGCCCACTAATCATATAGTGCTATTCTTTAATAAAAAAACTGAGTCAAAAAATCCTCTACCATTTTGTAATCTCCGCAATATTTTTTTTTTTTTAGTTATCCAATGAACAAAATATCTGAAACCGACCGTACAAGAATTCTCTCTCTTTAAGAAACATCTTCAAAATATGTCACAAAGAACTGTAAGATATCTTAAAATTGTCTTATACATCGATTTTATCTGTTTATTCAGCAATGTTTAGAAATGAATATCTCGTTAACTATTGCGAAAATTGCAAAATGATACAGGACTTTACGACTCAGTTTTTTATTAGGAATAGCACTGTATGATTAGTGGACGTTATTTCAGAAACACCCTGTATATACGTAAAAATCTAAATGGAGATTTCCGCATAATTTTTTCTTCTTAAAAGTAAGAGAATATATTTTTCAAATATGAAAATATTTTATGAAAAGAGAAAATTTAATCTTTGATCTACGTAAATAATGCTTTTCTCTTATTGCGAGAAGGAAATACGATTACGTAACTGTGTGACTGGTTGAAACGGGTTAATGCACATCCATATCTATGAATGATAGTGGACCATCACCGTTCCATTGACCAGTTATGCCTTATGCGCTTCGAGACAATACCGTTCACTCCTGAACATCGCCAAATTGTGTGGTAAAATTACAATTTACGAAAAGTACGGTAATAACTTTATATTACTTCGATGAATTACTGTATAAATCGCTATCTCGAAGCAACTCGTCTTCAAGTCAAGAGATCCATTAAAATAAAGATTTCCTCTTCCCTCCTGCTCAATGTTTTTCGTTTGTTTTATGCTATAATAAGAAGCACGTAAAAATGTTTTTAGGGAGCGGAATATACACCGTTCGAATTTCACGAAGCAATATAAACTATAGGATTTCAACAATAGAAATCGAAACGAGATTGCCAATGTTTACATTTTTTCATTTTTATTCAACTTGAAATTGAATGTATCAATATTTTGATACATAGTACTACATTGAAGAGGACCCAAATCAAGGTACCTACTTTTATGTTATTAATATACCTTCACACACAATTACTAATGTCGACTCGTATAGGCTTTTTTCGAATTTAACAACATTTTAAGTTTTTATTCGATTCATTCGATTTGTTAAATTGAGTTTCAACCAATTGAAATGAATGTTTCTATCTTTTGTTGCAGTTTTATAAACTAAAGTTAATTGAATTCTTTCCAAATATTTCTGTAGAATTTTAGATATGCCTTTATGTTTTTTAATTACACAGTTTCCAGGAATAAATACACTGCATTATAAGAACTTAAATAGTTACTGTTTTGCTAATGTATCCAAAAATTTAATTATAAAATATCTAATTATAGATCTATTTTTCTTTTTGTATTTTTTTATTTGCTTTGTTTTTTTTTCAAGTTTACCTATGTTTTTACGAAAACACGTTTTAAAATAATTAATAATTTTAATTAAATTTACAATGTATAAACATTATGTTTTGAATTGATTTTGAGTATGTATTGGACTGCAAATTGGAATGTAAAATGTAATATATACGTACATATATACATAAAATTAAGTAATTGTTCTTTTGAACATCCCTCATTACGTTTAAATGAATATGTCCAAATAACATATAATTAAGAAATCAATATTTGCATTGGAAAACATCCAATAAATAACCTGATAACTTAACGAAATCAAAACGGATATTCATATCATGATGAAAATGAATATATTGAAACACACACAATTTTAAAAATTATACATTAATATCAATTAATGAACTTATTTAATCTTGCGAAAAAATCTATCATTGTTCGACTATTAACATTTTCAGGCAAATATTTTACTTATTTTCAATGTCTATAACGTTCGATAATGTCAGTTTTATCGCTTCATGTATTATTGTTCGCGAAAACTTTCATATGGATGAAAGGATAAACCAGCGAAAAAATGCCGATAAGCGATAAATAACGAATAGCTCGGTCCACCGCTAAGGCTACCATCTCGCGCGAGCAATTTCACGGAACATCGCGTGGACAATAACGGATCGCCGTGAGAATACGATGCAGCGCGAGCCGATATCTTTTATGAGCAATTTCATGAAAAACTGTTTCTCTTTATCTCACACCATCGTACGGCTATGCAATCGACGAAACAGGAGATCAGAAAAACGCGACGACCATCCATGCGTCCGTCTATTCTCGATCACGTTTTCTTTAATTCGTAATAACGCAAAAATTGAATATCATCGCTACAATAGACAGTAAAAACAAAAAAAAGCTCGAAAATCAACGGTTATATTGCGAAGAATTTCTGAAGGATTTTGAAAGTAGATTCCGTATTCGTTTTAGTTTCCTCGTCATGTGTTCACGTTTATCTCGGCAGGAAATTACACATCCCGAGCAATTAACGTTTCGCGAATATCACAAAAAGAGAATTTAACAGCGCGAAGTAATGATATCTTAATGTAGAGATCATTCGAAAGAACCATGGCTTCATTTGGGAAAAAACGCAATTTACTTAAATTGGCATGCACAAAAATTGTCCAACTAATTGTAAGCTTAATAAAAGTAGATATCTCTGTTTTTTTAATT